CAGTAAAAGCTGGATATATGAAACAAAAGATTGGCTGGATAAGTGCAACGTTTAAATGCCCAGAATCGGCACCTCGGCTGTATGGATAACCAACAATGTTCTACACGCTTATAAAGAGCTAATTGCAATATATATATATCCAAGTTCTCCCACTTATCTACCAACAAATATTATTTTCACATGACAAGGGCAATCAATTTAATTAACTTTACGATATGTCACGTTATCAAAAGGTATAATACAAACTCCATTTCAATATACCCATTTTATCATGTTTATTACAAAAACCGTCACGATTTTAAAGAATGTTAATAACAACAGAGATACAGATGCGCATACTAATCTCATTTGACACGTATTTTTATTATACAAATTACACAGAACGCTTTCACAACAGTGAAGATTTAGATAACGTGCGTAAACTGCATGATAGGCGAGCCGCAGAAATGACAATATTTATTTATTCAATTTGTATTTTAAAGCAAGTACATCGTGAGAATAATAAGTGTATCTTTATCTCCTGGTATACACACTGTATGTATTTATAATTTATAAATCGCCTCCCCCTTTGCCACAATGTCATAGGTGGGCATAAAAAAAAATCTTTTCATTGCTGTTAAGAAACTTGTTACTGTTATTGTTACTTGTTACTTGTTACTGTATAATTTAGTGCAAGCCTACAGTGCTTCATTAAAATCAAAGTTAGAACGGCTTCTACCATCATGGATGTGCGCGCAAGATGTAAATCATCAAAATCTGCAAAACTGTAGGAGGCAATTTTAAAATATTACATACCAATGGATTTGGAAAAGTTCGGCCACCCTTGGGAAAAATTTTAATGGGAGATTCTAGAGGCCAAAATAAGACGAAAATCAAGAATATCAATTTGTTGATTGAGCCTTCGTTAAAAAGTTATTAAAAAATTAAATTAAAAAATTACAAATCCTCCAGGAAAAAATTATTTTCGGTTGCGGGGGCCAATTACAATAATTTTTGGTCAATACATATACCCACGAAATCCTACGCACTTTCGAGAAAAAAATTCCTAATCGAAAATGTAATTTATGGCCAGAAATGTTGTCCGAAAATTTCATGCGGATCTTTAAAATGTCATAACTTCTGAACGGATTGAAGGATTTTAATTTTAAAAAATGCAAACGACGCGTATTTTAATCGAGAATACGTAGAAATCGCAAAAATATGCAAAAAGTTGATCCTTGACCCCGCAAAATGAGAAAACCCCCATAAAAATGATCCAATCTTCAAACAGCCATAATTCCTACAATAGTGAATATATTTCAATGAAACTTTTTTCAGAAGTAGAGCTCATAGGTACCTACAAAAAAGTATTGGCCAACTTTTTTGTAGGGCGTCAAACGAAATTATTAAAAATGAAAAACGAATTTTTAAGAAAAATCGACAGGGCGTAGGTGCCTAAATTTTTCAGCGAAAAAAAAAAATTTCAAATCGTTCTAAAAAAATTATTTTCAGTTGCGGGAGTCAATTTCAATCATTTTTGGTCAATATATATACCCCCGAAATCCTACGCACTTTTGAGAAAAAAATTCGAGAATGTGTGAAATTTTTCAACAAAATTAAAAAATTTCAAACCATTCTGAAAAAATTATTTTCGGTTGCAGGGGTCGATTACAATCATTTTTGGTCATTACACATTCCACCGAAATCTTGGGCATTTCGGAGAAAAAAATTCAGTACGGGCGGAACTTTAAACGTTAATAATTTCTTAACGAAGCCTCCATCAACAAATCGGTATTCTTGTATTTTTCCCGATTTTGTCCTCTAGAAGTAGTGCAAGCCTACAGTGCTTCATTAAAATCAAAGTTAGAACGGCTACTACCATAATGAATGTGCGCGCAAGATGTAAATCATCAAAATCTGCAAAACCGTAGGAGGCAATTTTAAAAAATCGCATACCAATGGATTTGGAATAAAATGCTCGTCATTCTTTGTCATTATGAAAATTTCAATAAAATGAAAAATTAAGTTAATAAATTTTTTTTTGTTACAAACAAATTGTATTTTTTTAAATTTTTTAACACCATGTTATTGTACATAAGAAACCATCAACCTCGCCCATTAACAATTTTTTTGTATGTCTTTCCGTTTTCGAGATAGCCGTTTCGAGACAAAACTTCAAGGGGTGGTTTCACCCCTTAAACTCGAGTTACCGCAGCTAAAAAAAAATACGTGTCGATTATTTTTGGCTGCTTTATAAGTGTACAAAGTTTCATCAAAATCGAAGCCGGACCGTTCGCGATGGTTCCTTGTTAGTCTAATTTAAAAATTGAAACGCGACGATTCGTTTAGTCGACTATTAATTATCCACTGTCACTTTATGAAGCGTGCCTGACGGTGTGGGTGAATCTTAATACTGTTAATAGATATACGTACCTAATGTTATTAATTATTAACATTTGATTTGTAATTGTCGGGGCCACGGAATTCTTGAAGCTCGAGGCGCGGGAGTGGTGTCGCGGGCAACGTTTTCTCACCCTTTAAGCGATACCTTTTTTACAATCACTTAAACGACAGGACATTTTCTAAACGACCGTCGGGGTTCGGGTCTTTTCTATAGGACCGTTTCAACCGTCGTCACGACTCTCGCGAGATTCGAGACTCACGCATTGCGTGTCCGAACGGACCCTACTAATAAACGCCATAGAGGTCTGACAAGTAATTGGCTCGAATAAATTAAATTTACTTTAACAATCGTCTTTGCGTCGTTGTTGCACGTTTTTCATTCTCTTTTCAGGATTAACACCTTATTAAAGCGACGACTGGCAGACAAAGTTCGTGACATTTTTCACGAGATCATTTTGTGTTTATTTATTTGTGGATTATCGAAATTCATGTGTAGATTACTAAAAATTATTTTTTTCGTAATGAAGTGATTTATAAATAACTGTTTCTTCCTTTAAATGCAAATAGAGAATTTTGTCAACCATATTTGATTAAAGTAATAATATTAATAATTAACTCCTATATGTATAGTGTCTCTCAATTTTGCATTTGAGTTTAGGGCGCATACAATTAATATAAACACACTTATTGTGCACTTATACAGCATGACACAACGAGGGAAATTTTCCTGAAATGAAAGGAAAATGGGGTAAGGATCAGAGAATTTAATAGAATGGATGCTTTTTTTATAATTGAATCTTGCAACGTGATTTTTTTTATTTTATCATTTTTCCTGTTTGAAATCTTAAACTTTCCACACATTAAAATGGTTAATGTAGCTTGAAATTTTCTTTAATATTTTAAGCAATAAAGTAACTTAAATATAGTAACATTTTATTATGTTCACATATGAGTAACGTCTTTAGCGAGTTACCATCGACCATGATATCTTCCAGTGTAATATTTTGTTGCGGAAGGATCACCTGCCCTAGAGAATTAAAGATCGTTTAACACGTTAAACGTGGAGCTAATTCAGTGTGGCGTGTGAATACAAAAAATGCGTCTGCGTGTGAACAAAAGACAACGAGCAAAAAAGCCTCATTTTGGACAAAAATGTTCCAACAAAATTCATTGAAAAAGTGTAAACATATTTTTTTTAGTGCCATTTTTTGAATCTCCAGGGACCAATATAGTGTTCAACGTGTCGAGTGTGAAGAAACGTTTCAAAATAGATAATGGTAAGTGGTTGCATTAATCCTCCATTGTATCAGGGTTGAAAAATCTTTGGTAACGAAAATATTCTAATTCTATGCTAATAAAAAAGAATTGTTACGAGGAATGTGACAAAGATATTTTGCTTTTGCTAACTATAGAATTAAATTTTGCGAATGGAACAAAAAATAACTCTTGCTGTTGATAATTATGAGAACATTTAAAGAATATTGAAAATGGTATAAATTAAAAATAAGAAATATAAATATATGTACACATATTTACAGACTGGACAGGCCAGATGCTCTTTTATATTCTCTGTACATTCCTCTTGCATGCGAATTAGGGACAAGAGTTTCCAGATTAGAAAATTTATAAGGATAAACTGTTGTATAATTTAAAAAAAAAAGATAAATCTTAAATGTTTCATCTGATTGCAAGAATGTCTAAAGGACTGCGTAGGATGTGTTGTGGGAATCTTAATATTGGTCCAATTGCTTTTCAAAGGGGAAAACTTCTTTTCATCAATGCAATAATTACAGAAGCTTAACAACTGTAGGAGTATATCTTTTGCTATCATTTTATCGATTATCCCAGGTGCAGAGATATTAATTTTCTTCATCTAAAAAGTTTGTAGATCGCTATCCTATCGACGAATAATTGTCGAGATTAACGGGTTGATCGGGAAATGTAGTTCCACCGCATTCGTACGTACGTGTTTCAGTTTATTTATTAAATTAATGTTGACACAGGTTATTGTGTATGTCGTACAGTGAGAGTTGTGTGTATGGGCAATAGTACCTATCTATATACATATATATATATGTATATATATATATTTATATATAATAATAGAAGTAGAATTAAAGTTAATCCATTTAAATACAAGTGCGACACGCGCGATCAATTGAAGCGTAAGGAGCGGGTTCTACGTCTCGCGTTTATCATTTATAATTATTATTACTCGTTTATTTCCTCTTTATTTTCTCTCTCTCTCTCTCCCCCCTTACGCTTCGCGATACTCACATAACAGATGCAGGAAATTTTTAATCGAATCGTTTGATTTTTGTTTTTTTTTTTTTTGTTTTTTGTGCGTACAGATAGATATGCTTATACTTTATTTTCCTTTTATTGTTTCATTTGCTCCAATAACGACGATGAGTTGCGATAACGATTATGTTTTTTTTTTTTTTGTTTTTTTGTTGCTTTCTTGGTTTCTTTTCACGTTGTTTTTGCCGTTGCTTTGTTTCTGCGATTCGTTGCGACGGGTACCGCGTCACGTTGGCCAAGTTATTTCGAATTTACGACGGGTCGTTGGGCGCTGTCACAGTTGCGGACGAACAATAAAGGTGGCACGGTTTTTTTTGTTTGCTTTTTTCTTTTTCCAATCTTTCCGCTCTTTCGATGTTCCCGCGTGCGGCCCGTTGGAAACTCTCCTCGGCCCTTTTAACTTACGGTGATGTATCAGGGCTCCTCCTTTATTTTCGTCGTTTGCTCGTTACGCCTGCGGACATTCACAAAGATCTAACCACACTCGTCGTGAACGAGAAGAAAGGATCGGTCCAACGTTCCGAGCGTGAAAATTAACCCTCTGTGATGGTTCTTAATCGATATAATCTACTACAAAAAGCGATAAATCTCGTCCCTCTTTTCTTTTTCGAGTATAAAAGCAAACGAGTATATTTTAAGAATTTCATGCACGTTTATCGGGGGTCACGAGTTCCATTTTTTGCACATACAAAAGTTACCAAATCGATTTCTATATAAATTTCTGTCTTGCATATGCAACGAATGGAAACCCTCGAAATGGATTACTTTCTGAACATTGCTCTACCGTCCCTGTTCACGTAGTCGCGTCGCGATACGTACGTTTCTAAAGACGACGAGGTGGCGTTCGAAGTGGCAAGGGGTGGGTATCGACGGCGTTTTTACATGTCAGTCCTCGTCTCCTGGACAAGGTACACCTGGGAACCGGGCACGGTGGAGGTGGTGACGAAGCTGCGGTGTTTCGCGCGTATCAGAGTCAAGTTGCTCTCGGCTGTGTCGGCGCGGTCCTCCGCTGCCTCCAGTTCCCTCTGGAATCGCCGGACCCTTGTCACGCTCTGCTGAGACATGCCCTCTTGTTCCTGGAGCTGTCTCTTGTAGATGTTCACCTTCTGGCTGGCCTTGTCCAGCGACTCCTGCAGCAACGCGATGTTCTTCGAGTCTTCCTCTACCTGGATCATCACCTCTTTGATGTTACGCTCCTTCTTGCGCAGGATCTTCACCGTCTCGGAGTGTCGGCGCTTCTCCTCGTCCAATTCCAGCTCCAAATCGCGAATCTGTATTTCAAATTTCACTTAGCATTTCTAAAGACTATTATTTTGGCGCCATTTAACTTCACGACTTTTCTTATAGTACACGTTCAATGAAGTTTACAATATTCACTTCTAGTCTTATTGTTTGCTTTTTTAGGAAAATGTATAGTTTGTGAATGTCTGTGATGTTGAATGATTTATATTTTTTTTGTAAAAAACTGGACAAAATTTGGTACCAAATTCTGGTTAGCTTCCGATGTAAATAGGAAATATATGTATAGTAAGGTCATGAAAGGAGAGAATCTTCAGTTTCACTTTTCTATTTTTAAATAGTTGTTTTCTCTAGAACTAACTACGTTACCGATTTGGAACAAAATTCGATTTCAACCTAATTTTTTATAGAGATAAAAGACCACGTCGACCAGTGCACTCTAATAGACTTCGATTAAAATATCTCACCCTAGCTTCGAGCTTGCTGATGATGCGTCTGCCTCCCACGATAGCGTTTGCCTCGACCTCCTCCAATCTGACGGACAAGTTCTTCACTTCGATCTCGAGGGACTTTTTGATGGCCTCGATCTTCACTATGCGTTCCTGCTCCTCGTGGAGTATCTCCACGGTATGTTTCAGTTCGGTCTGCACCCGTTGGTATCTCTCGTCGCTCACTCTTAATTCTTTAGTGACCTCCTCGTAGTCACCAGCCAGGGTCGACAGCTCTTGCTCGAGCTTGGCCTTCGACGAGGCGATGTTCACGTTGATGGTGGTCAGCTCGTTGATGCGGCTAACCGACTCCTCGTATTGCTGCTCGACGGTTCTCTTTGCTCGTAGGGCCTGTCAAAATACAATTACATATCGTTAGTCACGATTCACTTCGTCATTTTTAACCCTTAAGTGGACTCACTTCAACCTTTGTATCTATTTCTTTCAAACTTCTATGAATCGTTCGTGTTAGTATGTCTAAAAATTCAGAAATTCCTTGAGCTGACAAATTTCGTTTGTTGCCTATTAAATTGCAAATTTTATTCAATTTCAGAACGACCTAATATATCAATGTACTCAAACGTAAACAAATCATGTTTACTTCGATCGGAATAAAATTTTCCTATGAAGACGCAATACCAATAGGTTCTATAGCGACCAAAAGCTGTATAAAATTGGCAGGTGTTATTCCTCGACCAAATATAAGCTATCAGGCTGTTGTTTCGTGTATTTTCGTCGCTGAAAGCACTTACAGTTTCGTAGTTGCCGCGCACTTCCTCGAGCTCGGCCGTCAACGACTGTAGACGCCGTTGACTGATGCCCAGCTGGTCCAGGGTTACCTGCAGCTGGCGTTGAACTTCGTCGTAGTGAGCTTGGAGCTCCTGAAAATAACAAAACGATATCGACGGTGACGGGTACGTCTTGCCAAATGTCCGTCGACGGATATATCAACGTGCGTTCTAGCTTACGGTCAAGGTGAGAGATTGCTTCTTGATCGTCTTCTGCAGATCGATGTTGTTCTTGTTGGCGACGTCCAGCGAGAGTTCCAGCTCGGTGATCTGGATCTGGAGCTTCTTCTTCACGCGCTGCACCTCGGTCTTCAGCTTCGTCTCCGCCTCGACCACGCGAGCGTTCAGCTGCTCGATCTCGATACTGGTCTGCTTGCTAATTTATTTCATTACGTATGAACAGAGTTCCATGGTCAGTTTCGGGTGGGATTTGTGACAGATGTTATTGCCTTTGGTGGGTGATGATTATCGTCGATTAGAGAGAGAGTATGGAAAATGGAAGAACTATCAAGATTCCTGTGCTATTAATAATAAAATGGGGGGACTGGCAAGTAACTAAGGTGTTTCGAAGGGTGGTTGTGCAAGGTGTTCGCGTTACTGTCACTCAGAGACTCTGCCTTGCGAAAGAATACTATATTTAAAATTCAAAGCAGACGAGTGATAATAATTCGAACCCTGACAGTGTTAGTTTCTCCTTTGATTTGTTAATTAGCAAGAAATTCATGCGAAAGACATTGCCATAAAGAAAAGGTGGTTGCATTGCAACGTCGTCCATCAGACGACACTTACTCCACTCTCAATCGAGCCTAGAAAGCTACTCTAACCAAAAATATCGTAAAAAAACAGTTGGAAAACGATCTCCCGAGTGAAAAACCTGGTCCAGCGAATCAAACGAGTCGATTTAAAACGTCTTTCGTTTATTTATCTCTTGGTTCCATCCGTTTCACATAGCTCTTACCCACAACTACAACAGATATCTACGTGAATTCACGTTGCATTATCGAAAAATCGGCCCCTATCCCAGGCACCCGTACAACCGTCTCGGTCTCGTCGGGTCTTGATACCTCTTGTTCAGGAAATAGTTGCTGGACTTCTGCTCGTATCCCTTGAGGTCCCTGCTGAGGCTGTCCAACGGCGCCGCGAGCCTCTCCTCGTCGAGTAGGTTCCTGGTCCTGTCCTCCAGCAGCCTGAGCCGCGTATCGTTGATGTCCCACAGAGCGTTCTCCCTCTGACACTTCCTGACGTCCGCCAGCTGCTGGCTGACGTTCAGGTTTTTCATGGCCTCGGCGGTCAGCTGGAACTCGATCGCTCTGGCCGACTTTCCGCGCAGACTTTTGCCATGATCGAGGGCGCTCTGCACATCGGCCATCGTCTGCACGTCCCTCAGTGCTTGTAGATCGATCGCGGCCATTTCGCGCTGTATCTGCCTCGCCTGGCTTCTGATCCTCGCACTGTCCACCAGCAACGGTAACGAACGCAACCTGAACTCCCTGGTTCGCGGCGGAAACAGCTCTCTGGTCACGTGGCTGGCCTGCGCTGTCTTCGACAAGCTGAAGTCCGAGCGATTCGCTATCTTTTGGACGAAATACCAGAGAAGATCGGTTTGTCAGTCTCGTCCCCGGGGTGATTCCTGCGGGCTGTTCGATCGTACGCGACGAAGAGAGAAAGCGGTGACGTGTGATTTTCGCGAACGCGCGCTACCTAACGCGAAGGGGTATCGGTACTGTCGAGAGCGTGTGCGCGACTCTCTGTTCAAGCCGAGCTGAGCCTAAACTTAGCCGCGACGGTCCAGAATTCGAAAGTGACCGTAGCACTCGATCGACTCTCTCTAGAGACTCGGGAACGACTGCCAATCCGAGGCGTTTGCCGACCGCCGGGCGTCCCGGACCCGGGGTTGGAGACGCTAGATGGATTTTTAATATACGGGCTACGTGCGATTTGGCAGACACCCCGTTCCTCGTCGCGTGTCCAACGGCCGGTCCAAATTGTAATTGGCTGCCAGCAACGAGGGTGCGCGCATTTCCGCGATATTTTTATTGTCCCCGTTCGGGCGATCACGCACCGTCGAGCCGCGAACGGGTTGTCAGGTCGTTAGAAACGACGATAAACGATCAGGAATTTCCGCTTTAAGGGAACCGAGCACGCTTTGGCGATCATCCCGTTGCAGCGTACGTCTTAAATTAACCCTCGAGAGACCGGCGCTCGAAACACGTTTACGGTTGGTGGCACGAAATTCACTGATACGAGGCTTCCTCTTGAATGTAAACAAAGATCGGAGAATGCTTTGCTTGCAGACCGTAAAAAACGGAATAACTGCTATACAAAACGGATTATCGACTAAATAATACTTCTCGAATTAAAAAGCATTATAACGAGGGAATTTTAAGCGGCCTAAATGGAGTTCTGTCTTTTAAGAGCTAATCTTCTGTGACAGTGGGACAGTAACCAGGTGGCGACGAAAGCCATTAGTACGAGTGGAGATACGGGTTCTGGCGAAACTAAAGCAACCTCTGTCTATTTTAATTCTTTGCGGTTCAAATAATTTTTCCTATTGGATTCGAAGTTAAATATTAAATTAATTTTATAGTTTATATAGAAATACCACGTTTTATGATAAAAGCTTGTTCACGGTTCTTAATTACTGCGAGGGTCATCGATGGTCCTCTGTTAATACAGAAATTTAATCAAACGAACCTAAATGTTTGCTTGCTTCTGAACAATATCAGTGTTTTGATGATTGATAATATTGTTTTCTTTCGATTATGTTTGTCAATAAAACAAACCTAATCGATAGGAGGATCAATATTTTGTTTCATAACGAACTGCAGTGTCAAGATAATCGACTGAAAATTAGTTGACTCGCCTGCCCCAGACTTTTATTAACAAACGAGTAACATTATAGCCGATAGTGTATGATGAGTAACAGATCATGGAACATACGGTAAATTTTCAAAATCTATTTTTACACAAAGAGCCCTTTTCGAGACGTTATCGAAAGTCGATAAGGTCTAAAATTGAAACCTGTCGAAGTTGCACGAGCTCGTTACATCGCACCAGACTGTATCCAAATTCTATATATATTCGAGTCTATATGTGTCCGTCCACCTGCTTCATAGATCGAATATTAACGACGCGAAAACAGTGCCCGCTAAGTGCCGCGAGCGCGAACTCGCGCTTGTTACATTTGAATCGCGATCTTCGCCACCAGTGTGACTCGTTATTAGAAGTCGACGGGTTAACCACCGTGTTATTTGCGAATCACCTATTTCAAGACCACCGGACCCTGTTCCGTTCTGGAATCCTCTATCGATTGTTGTATACGCGAAATGAGAACCAGCCTCAACATCGCGTCAGGATCTTTCGTAATTTACGCCTTCGATCCGATACTTTATTCCAGCGGTACGTCTGTGGTCTGCTAACTTTTTAAAGAAATTCTAAATATTTAGAAAAGATATACTCTCGTAGCTGAATACTGAGAAATTAGAAGCTTTGGCTAATTTGCTGGATGTGGAAGAGAAGCGATATATTTAAGAAAGGAATTTTACAAACACCTGAGAAGGCTACTCTCTTAGAATTAAACGTTTCCTGTCTAATCTATATTATCCTCATTTTTTAGACGCAGTGCAAGTTTCCATGTTGTTTGGTGCCTTGTATTTCGTCAAATCAGGATTCTAAAAACGTTATTCACAAATGCAAAAGCACCCTTAGATTGCCAAAGTTGGTCCAAGCAAAGAAAGGTTAGGTATCACTGTTCTACACTAATTATATTTTGTTCTTAACATTTGTATAATCCCTTGAAATTTTTGTAGGAGCCACGATTCTAGTTCCTGAATTTTTAGGGAATGAAACATATGCCTGACGTAACAGTTGACGTGTCAACGAAGAGATCTCTTTTACACAATGTTCCTTCTCCCTCAACAGGTTAGAACCCTTAACAATTTTGCAACTTAATCTACTTTGAACCAGCATTCTATCTATTTAAAACAATCCAAGAGTCTCTACTTTCGAAGCTAATTGCCTAAACACCTGCCTGTACCAATAATTCCCAAGTACCCTAATTGAGTATTCCACAATGAGGGTTGCAACTATACAAGCGACACTATGAAGACTCCAGGTGAAAAAGCGAATCGAAAAGGTAGAATAAAATTTTGTTTATACGAGGCTTTCGAGAAAAACTTCTTCAGTATTTGGGGTACACATCAACTTGATTACGAGAATGTTCTCAAAATTCCAATTTTTATGCACACAAACTCCAGCGTAACAGTTTGCAAAAATCAGTAATTAGTAATTCGACTATCCAATAACAAAACGATACTCTTTTTCTCCCCCAACGCTGCACGAATTCTCAAAGTCGTTACTCTCGAAAACCTCGAAACATTTTCATTTCATTCGATTCACTGCATCACCAAACTATCATAAAACATCTCATCCACGGGTAACGCGTTCCATGCAAAAGTTTCCATGCCTGTGATCGTTCACTAAAACCTTTCGTCAACAGCACCGGCGCCCAACGAATCACTGTTTCCGAGCATGTCGTCCCTCATCGAAACTAACTCGCTCGGTTAACCAACGAGAGCGATATATCTCTGGCAGGGGAACCCGCCACGAGGCGTGCACCTCGGGCAGCCACTTCCGCGGCACCAAATTTAGAAACCGAAAAGGTCAGGCAGTCGTCAAGTCGCACGGCGCCTAGAAAATTGATCGTACGCGCTTTGTCCCGGTCCCGACCGCCCAGCTTTCACTCTCCTTTCGTCTCTTTTTTTCGTGTTCTCTCGTACCTTGAAGCGCGACAGGTGTTCCCTGGCCTGATCCTCCGCGTTCGTCGCTAGCTCGATCAGCTCGCGCCTCGAGTACGGCTCCACCGGTCTGCCCTCCCACAGAGCCCTTCCGTCTGACCACGGCAGTTCCGGTGGCTCTGTCCACCTTTCGTACCGATAGTCCCTCGAGGTCGTCGAGGTCCTCCCTTTCCTGTCTATGTAATCGATCATCGGCTGGTAGAAGTTGATCCCGTAGTTGTAGTTCACGTCGTAGATGTAGGTGGGCCAGTGTTTCCACTTTGGCTCCAATGGCACGTGCATCGGTGGCATATAACCCACCATTTTCCTATCTTTTCTTGACTTTTAACGAAGAGAGTCCCTTTCGTGCCTCTTTCTATATTCTCAGATTCCCTCTATGGCGTGACTTCGTCGAGATTTTAACTCGAGGCACCGTCGACCTTTCTTATTTAGTTTTCCTTTCAACCTTGGTCTTCCTCGAGACTTTTGCTTTGACTTTTATTTCGAGTGTCTGTGTGGGTGTGTTAATTTGTCATCCAACTTCTACCTTGAATAGAAATCGTGTTAATGCTCTTTCTGGGGTCGTCGAGAGTGTTAGAGGCCGGGGTTTTCGTTTATTGCTGTCTGTTCGATCTACTCACGGATTTGTCATAGTCGGATGATCGGAGACGATAGTTGCAACGAAAGAATCGTGAAAAATTGGGCCGATCTAGCGCGGTGGTATCTTTTGTAGCTTTTTCTTACGGTTGCCACATTGAGGACGGCCAATCAGCACCACCCGGTAATAATTGGACCGCGGCTGATCGGTTATGGTTATTAATAGCTACGTTGCGCATCGTTGTTACGCGTCTTTCATTAATGACTCGAACCGTGTCACTCGATTCACTATATTTGTAATTGGAAGGTTCCGATTGTTATTGTTTATATCACACTGGCACGCGTATTTATTTAATCTTTAGAAACTGATTCCCTTTTTTCAAAAGTATTGATGCACATTATGAAAATGTCAGGTTCTTTATATAGCGATTTATATTCATTTTTTTATATTTCGACATTTTTAGAAATGGTGTCGAACGATAATATTATTTTTATATTTTTTATTTAAATCCAGAGTCAGATTTAATCGTACTATACACAATTCAAAGTTTAACTCATTGTTCGAACAGAACAGGAAAATGTAAATATTGTTATTTTGTTTGTCTACGGAAGAGGTAGAAAAACAAAACTAAATAGATTAAATATAAATTACCTCGCGATAAAAATAACTTTTATATTAAAGAATCATTGAAACGTAAAAATTTGTGATTATATGACGTATCATGACTTTAAAGGTCTTTTCTTAAAAATTCTTTGTGTATTAATGTTCAAAAATGAAATCATAATCTGTCCTAAATTCAATTAAATTTACGAACATGTTTAAGTAAAACGTTCGATAAATACTTTTATCTTGATGATATTGGAAGGTAGATATTTTTCCATTGGCCCATATTTCGAGTTGATTTTGTTTCATATGTAATTATTAGTTATGCCCATGTGTTAAGTCATTTTACTTAATGTTTATTTGCCATGTCGTTCAAGTGACTTATCAGCCTATCAATGAAATACTATATTTTCAAAATCTAGAATTATAATATTCCATAATCTAGTTATATTTCAACATTTTTTGCAGTGTATTTCTTTTCTGTTCGGAAGGATACCAAATATAGAATCGTGTGCGTTTCTGTGTCACTTGTGGAATCATAAAGAAGCAATGCACGGGTGAAAGGGCAAAGTAGAACAACGTTCGATGGCGCAACAGTGGTTGAACCGTGTCGGCCTTGTCGTAGGTTTCTATCCCTTTGAATTCGCGAATATCGTATTTCTTCTTTCGTTCGTCGTATCTTTTTCCTAACAATCTTAAAGCCTCTTTCTATAGAAAGCAACGAAACGATAGCGTCCTTCTTCGTCGAGTATTTCTTTCTCAAGCGAGGCAATTTTTCCTTCGATGATCGTAAACATCGTGATACTCACGTGAATTGTTCCTCGTGATATGTAACGTTCTCTTTCGCTAAATTAAATACATTGCTCACTGTTCTTCTTAAACAAATCACTTGTACATTCTTCGATAGCAGATTAAAACGACTCGTTCGAATCGTACAGCGTGAAGTTTTAACGATATTGTTATAATATCGTATATTAACGATAAAGAAGTTGTCGAATCGTCTTCGTGAATTTATTCCTTTGATTCGTGGTGATATAATCGATATGTGGAGCGATTGATGTTGCGTAGCGTCCACGTCGTGAATATCAGAGCCAAGAAAAATAGTCATCGCGATTGTCACCGCATGACAATTCGCTCTTGGCAATCGTCGGATTCTGTATATGACGAGCGTATAAATAAATAATTAGAACGCGACAGGATATTCCCTTGAACGTCTGACGGGTCGGAAGACACCCAGCGTGATTAATCGATCGCGTTGATCGACGACAAACTTGATCGAGATAAAATTAACTGTTTTATTAATAGCGCGATGCATCGTGCTTGCACCCAGAAATAAAGTCGACGGAGCAACTAATAATTCGTACTTTCGATTTCGACGACACCTTTTCTTTCATTTTTAAATAATATTCGAATCTGTATAAACTCTCGCTGAAACAGCATGCTGTTAGAAAGATAATGCAAACGTAACACAGTAAAATATTTGTGATGCAAATTAGATAATGAGCTTTGAAGAAAGATCGAAATTGGTTTCTGAGCATTCGTTTTTCTCTTCTATAATTCTTTCTGTAATCTTTTGCTGAATTATAACATTTTGAAATATCGAAATAAAAAATTAAAGTATAGGAATAGTATATTATTGATCGAAAGAGCGTTACTTAGTCTTTTAATGCCAAGAATGAGAGAAAGAGCAATGATATTTGAGCAAAAGTGGCAAAGGAATATAAATATTTGTGCAACGCTTCGATCTTGGTGGAATAAATTATTAAAATAGCGATGATATTGAATTAACGATACAGTATTGCAATTTAGAAGGTTTTTAAGTTTCAAAAATTATTTTCTAATATTCGTCTCGTTAATGGAAACGTGTTACGGGAACTGACGTTTAAAAGGAGTATTATCATGATTATGATTACATGAAATCAGTTAATCTCGTAGTTTTTGGGGTGATTAAAGGAGGATGTGAAAATATTTCGCGTACTCACCGAATGATTTCGATTTCTTCGTCCTTCTCGGTCAGGCGGCGTTCATAATCGTGACGAAGCTGGGTCAATTCGGCGGCCAGTCTCTGCGAACGCTGTTCTTCGATCTTACGGCCCTAAAATTGACACGTTTTGTTAAAAACTATTTCGTATTATTCGTATTATACATATATAGAATTCTCGAATAGCGTAGACTCTCTACTAAACAAATACTATCGAACAGAATGTTCGATTATTTTATTAAGAGATTAAAAGAAAGTCACAACGGAAACAAAGAATTCTGAAAAGAGATAAAGAAGGTTCTTGGTAGAACTCGAAAACTTGGAATGTTCAATCAAATGATTCTATGAAATTCTTCGTAGTTTTATTTTGCTTTTTTCCCTTTTTCGTGTCAACATCGAGTAGAAAATTACGCGAATTGGGTTTTATAACACTTACAGCTTCAGCTTCTTTGTAAGCAGCTGCGAGCTCTTCCCTTTCGTTCTCCAGACGACGGAGTTCGAGTTCCAGCTCGTGAAGTCTGCGGTTCATATCGGCCAGCTGGTTCTTGGCATCGCCAAGGTCATCTGGAACGATCGAATAATTCGTTCGTATTACTCCAAAACGTTAAAAAAATGTATAAGCCTTTGCGTCAGATTCGACGACGTAAAATTGAAAATCTCGAACTCTGAACTTGACACGTATTGGGCAAATTATTCAGGGTAATTTTATTCACCTGCTAGTTTCTTGTTCTCGCGAGCCAGTTGGTCCTTTATCTCGCGAGTTTTGTCGAGCTCGGCGATGGTGCGTTGAAGTTCCTGTTGCTTGTTGCGAAGATCACGCTGGCTCTGCTCGTACATTGCCATACTCTCGTCCAAACGGGCCTTCAGCTCGATATTGATCTTCTCCAATTGCTCCACGCGTTTCTGGAGCTCGCGAGCTGTTCCATTGGCCTTGAAAAAGATTCCCCGCACCGTTAAAAAAATCATTGCAAACCTACATAACAATTATAATTTAAAAAGCTCCTACCAGGATTAATAATATTCGTCCACGGTTGCGATAAAAATAAGTATAAAAATAAGATCAGTATGGTTTATACAATTTCATGAAAAAGTTAAGATCAGAGATTTTGATATACTTGACGATCGTGGGTCAAATGTTTATGGATGTATAAAAATATTTCTATGATATATTCCAAGATATAAAAAATCTACAGTGGCTATTAAATTATTATAAAAAGCCTTTTTAGTCAAAGTATTTTGTATCACACCTTCTCCAAGTCGATGATCAGTACTTCCACTTCGGATTGGAGGCGCGATTTCTGTTTCTCGAGGTTGTTGATCTTGACGAGCAAAGTTTCAATTTGTTCTTCCTGTTCCTGGATACGCGCGCCATATTTGCGACGAAGTTCCTCTACCTGCGCAGTTCGATAACATTTTCATATACAGAAATCGTTATAAACAGAGCGTGAACGAGCATAAAAATATCGAAAAACGTCGAGGAAATTTTAACGAGCATATTCTGATTACTTTGTTCGTATCTTTTCCCAAATAATTTTGTTGTGTTTTCGGTAATTACCTCTTCGGCGCGAGCGTTGGCTTCGGTTTCGTACTTCGATCTCCAAATTTGTACCTCGCCGTTGGCTTTGACCAACTGACGTTCAATGTCCAAACGTGCTTCAGATTCTTCTTCAAGTTGAATGCGAACGGATTCCAATTCGGACTCGACCTGTCGACAATTAACATTGCTATTACTTCTTGCAAGTTTCTTGATCGTAACCGTACGTCTGTTTTTATTTAAATTTGATATAAAAAATAATTATAAAGGTCTTTTTAAAAAGTATCTCATACAGACTGAACGTCAAGTGTCTCAATTACTGATTATAGTTTTATTCGATTTCTTGTAAAATAATCCTATTTGCTGCGAGTTAACAGACACGGTATTCGATTAAATCTTTTTCGACGATAATATTGTTACCGAACATATTTCCTGATTATCGAGGAATAGTTATATGTAATTTTTATAGTTGAAACAAAGCTTGCCTGATGTAAAGAGGCTTCGACCATGGCACGACGACGGTCTTCATCTTCGAGACGACGACGAGCGTCCTCGAGCTGGCCCGCGATCTGCGTCCTCAAGTAAATTACGTTCTCGATGTTGAGCTGCAATTGTATCAATGAAACACAATTATACGAAGGATAGAGAAGATATAAAAATTAGTAAAATGTAAATACAGACGGTGCTTTGGAGGATTAGAAATATTCTATTCGAAGCTTGCAAAGGTCAATGATGTTTTAGTTTATATCTATTATATTAGTTAATTTTAGGGCTATGCAAAGTAAAATTCGGGATGAACATTATCCCACCTTCAGGTCCTGCACTTCCTTGGTCAGTTCGATATTTTCCTGGGAGAGCCTGGTTTTGTGACTGGTGATGTCAACGATGGTACGGTTCAGTTCTTCGATTTTCACGTTGAGCTCGGCCACGTGGAATTCGAGCTTCTCCACTGTCTTTATGGACATCACCTTTTCTTTGGTGACACTGTCGAGCTGGGAGAGGAGCTCGTAAACCTCCTGTTGGAATTTCGATTTTTCCTTGTCGGCCCTGAAAATTTCCCGAGCAATTCTTTTCAGCAGGATTCATATATTTCCAAAGTGGAATCAAAGAATACAACACCGAGAATTTGCGTGCTCACCAGCATAGTGTTCCATTGTTATTCAACGAAAGAGTACTTTGAGAGAAAATATAAGGGTTTCCATAGTCTTAACAAGTTTTCTCAAAATTATTCGTTCGCTGTAATTATGAAACAATTATGCAGTTATGCACTTACGTGTGCTATTTTTGCATTGTTTCCTCTGATATAAATAAAAGTCAAAGCTAATATGAATATTTATTCGCAATGTTAGTGTTTACTTCTGTGTCACGATAAGTTGAAAATTGAACACTAGTGCAAGTACTTTTTAATAGATTAAACCATCAATTTTATTTTACATATAAAGAAAGAAATTTCTCGATTATTTATAAGGTTATTTGGTCGTCAAAATCTGGGAGTCTGTGTATCCATGAATTAATTAAAGAGCGACAAAATTTATTTATTCTTTCTACAGATATTCGTATTTATATTATTTAAAATATTGCACGTTTCAGTTCGATACCTCCCGTTATTTTCAAACCGTCTATCGTCGATGAATTGTTAAAAAGTTCGTTCTGTGCCACTTACGAAAATATATCTCGCATTTGTTTGCGTTTGCACGGCAGTTTCGTTTATTTTTAGAACCCGTTACGAAATACTCAAGCTTTTGATGCCTTCGCGTCATTATTGGAAATAAAGCTACAATTCTATTATTAAAAATATAACACGTCCATTTTGTAGTCCAGACTCCGAATCGCCTTCGACAACGATACATACATCAAACGCAAACTTTTTACTATCCAAAGCTTCGGTACAAACATAAGATAGAAAAGCATAGATCGTGGTGCTCGAAATTTTCTTTCGTCCCATCACAATTAATTTATTTATTCAAGCTCCTTCGATAACTTATATTCTTTAAAAAAACTGATGAAGTTTTATAACGATACATACATCAAACGCAAACTTTTTACTATCCAAAGCTTCGGTACAAACATAAGGCAGAAAAGCATAGATCGTCGTGCTCGAAATTTTCTTTCGTCCCATCACAATTAATTTATTTATTCAAGGTCCTTCGATAACTTATATTCTTTAAAAAACTGATGAAGTTTTATTAAGTTTTCTTAATTTCTCTTTTCCTCTGTTACGATGAAAACAATTGCGTTCTAAATTGTTTTGGGGCATCCAGTTTCGATCGACGAGTTTATTTGCTACGGTGGATCGCTAGAGCAGACGTTTTTCCCTCGAACACCGTGGAGCAGGAATTCCTCCGGCAACGGAATACCCGTAAATCGCGTTAACACCCCGTGGATGTCGAGGAGCGTCGCGTGGAGAGAGGGGAGGGGAGGGTAGGAGAATATCGAATCCCCGCGATATCGATGCTGTCCACCTACACGTAACAGAGGGTGTAAGGTGTCGGCCGATTCCGAGGATAGTGGGGATCCGGGCCGGTCGCCTGTACTAATATGGCGCGGTAACACGGGGTTGAGGATTGCCGCGCGACTCGCACGGTTAAAAATAGTCATAAGCCGAGTAGTAGCGGCCGCGCGAGCAAAACGACCCGCGGGGAGAGAGACCGTCGGAATAAAAACGGGAGACAGACCGAGACGGGACGAGGAGTGGGAGGGGTGGAGAAGGAACGGAGGGGTGAACCGGGAAGAAAGAAAGTCGGGAGGCGAAAAACTGTGAAACTTCGAAAACGAATGGAAAAGAAGAAAAAGAATCCCCCGGACGAGAGCAACGAGACCAAAGAATCTGAGAACAGACTAGCGATAGGGAGGGTGAACGTAGAATTTAAATAGAGTACAAAAATCGTACCTTTGACAAATCTCTGAATATTAAACTGTTTTTTTTACTTTACGAAGGATGACTGTAATGTCTGACTTGGTACGGCTAGTGGAATAGAATAAACGTCTGGCTTAATATGGTACGTAACTACTTCCAGGACGCTTTACGGTCGAGCAGCAGCCGTTCGATCCTTTGGGGAACGATCGGTGTTCCGCGTTTGGCGAGCATGCATAATAAATGCGCGGAATTTCCGTACGCATGATCGATCGAGCCTTCGAATCTAATAGCACCGAGAGGGTTAAAGTTGCGTACCAGGGGGATGAACTCGAGATACAAACTGTCACGGAATTTAAATACCAACTACGACTCCGTTATTCTTGCGATCGTTGTTGCTTCTTCAGGGTTGGCGAGAAACGTCAAATAACGTTCAATTTATTCCCCTGTCGGTATTATTACATTCGCAAGTTGTATGGATAATACGTCGATTCTCTGTATCTTGCGCAGAGAACCATTAATAAAACTAACTATCGAGAAATTCGAAGAGGATGAAATGCAGAGAACGTATTAACAAGAATATGTAAAGAGTGAAGAGAAGAACGAAACGAGAGAGTAACAAGACAGCGAAACGCGGGGACGAAGAAAACGAGGCGAACGACACGAAAAGTAGGACGGGTCTGTTTTAAAAGCGTTTAAAACGCTCCTCCCGTGCCAACAGGTGGAAACTTTTTTTCCGCGCTGCGAATTCTCGAAGTCCTGACACCTGCTACATTCTGCCTACCGCTTCCGCGTGACGAGAAAAGAAAATGGACGGAGGAGTAATTTTCACCTTCGTTTTCGCTTTTCATTTATTACTCCCGGACGCCTTAACGGCGTTCTATTTTCCTAGCTGAAATATTAAGGGGCAATTAGCTGTTACTTCGCCGTGACTCTGTTGACGTATAAATGTCGTAATTGCTTTTGCTGATAGGTACACTCGGAACGGAGTCCCCCTCGGATCTAATTTCAGTTAAAATTCTTGATCGGTCGTTCCTGCTGCTCCACGAGACTGCGAAATTATACCCGCGAGGGAACTTCAAAGTTGTGCACCGGAAGGAAAATAATAACTCCTACGAGATGTCGTTTACTTCGTTTTAACGTTTACGCGGGGAAATTAATGCGAGAAGAAACCGACGACGAGTCAAAGGCTTTGAGAAATCAATTTATGCTCGATAATTACGTGGAACAGAAATTTTTAAACGATTCTAAAATGAACCCGACGTCTGGAAAAACAACCTGGAATGAAAAGAGCACTGCGTTTTTAATGTAGCAATTTAACAAGAATATTTTGTGTCTACATTAAATTACTTCTAGTTTAACGTATGTATTAGGTTTTTAAAACCAATTTACTTTTACTACCAGGGAGTTTTTTAATTATTTCGAGCAGTATGTTCGTACGAGTGTACAATGGATACTGGAGAAACGAAGCATCGAGTAAAAGAAAAGGTTACTGCTGCAGCAACGTTTGCAAGAAACCAATAAAATCCCGCTCGATCGAGAGAACCGTTTCGTTTCTCTGTTTTACGTTCGTTTTGTTGTCGGAAGATTGCGTAAACCGTTGTCGGGGAAACAAAGTCAACGTAAATAAATCCCGGGGAATGGAAGTCGCACAAAATGGCGAATCTTTCGCGCGATTTCATATTCGTTCGCTCGTCGAGAGATTACATAACCGAACACCGAAGGGACAAAGTCGAAATAAAAATGTCGCCGAGAAAGATATTTCTAGCGCCACGGTATAAATAGCGTTAGGAAATCACGAAGAAAAGAAGCCTCGAATTCCGCGCGATCGAGAGAATAATTCCGACTCTGACTTCTGGATTTCGACGGGATTACGCAACGAGTCGCGGGCTTTTGCTCGAGAAATGCACAAAGCGAACCTTTAAAATTTCTTTTCATTCGGTTAAAAAAAAATTCTTCTAGTTTTCTCTTCTCTCGGAATTCTAGGCGAATTCGAAGCGAACGAGAGAGAGAGGGGAGGATCGATTAGATAATGGACGGCGTCTCGATGACAGTTCTGCGTGAATTTTCGAAGACGGAGTCGTCCTTGTGGCGCGGGTATCGGCGGCGTCGGGGCGCCGGGACGTCGAAAAGGACGCGGGTTATGTTTAGAAAAGCCGAGGGAACGAGTCTGCGCGTATTTCAGGTGCGAGTAAGTTGGTTGTTTGGCCGTTGGCCAGTATCGTCGAGCATAATTCCCGCAATTTTCGAATATGCTTTCGTTTCTCGCGATGCTTGCTATAATTAACGAACCGTCGCGTCGTGATTCATCCCCGTCCGTTAAATCGTTTTTTTCCCTCCCTCTTTTTCTATTTTTTCCCCCGTCTACGTGCTCGTCGTTTCGGCGCACCTTGGTACTTCCGGCGGACTGTTTATTGACGCTCCGCGCGCTTTGACCTCAAAGAGGAGGAGGATCCACCGGAGCCAAGCATACCGAGGCCGCGATTTTATTTTCACAAGTGTATATAATTAACCGCGGCTTATTGGTGTTCCGATTTCGTTCGTTCGCTATCGAGGATCCCGCGCGAGATTCGGAGCGTGTTTAGGCTCCCTCGAAACGGAATGTTATAGCGCCTTTGCTTTGATACCTGGTTTTAATCTCCTAACTGCGCCATTTTCGCGCTGCACGCGCCCTACGAGCGTCGATCTCTCGTTGCTACGTTAATGGAATCGTTGCTATCGAATAATTATTTCAAAGAATGTCTCGTTTCGATCTTCGTTTAGCCCTTTGTACTCCACTGGCGCCGCTATGGCGACAAACATAACAGGTACCATAGCTCGATTCGAGTTTCATTTGTGGTAACATGAATAAAATCTTAATTATAAGTATTTATACGTCACATCACAAAATTGCAATTTGTATTGCTAGTTGTTCATATTAAAGACCCTCAGAGTGCAAAGGGCTAACATCTAACGTGCTGAAGAACGTGTAATACTTATAAAATTAAAAATAACGAATGTATTAACGTTTGATAAAGATACTAAAATACCGATGATATCGTGATCACTATCTGGTAGACTCTGCCCGAAAGATTGATAAGTGGCGCAGTTAAAAGCGTAGATCAGAGTTCTGGATACTTCAAGAGCATGAATCATACGTCACGTACGAGAGAAATTATGTACAGAGTATACTAAAATTTATCGAGGTATTTAACTATCTCTAATCAGAAACTAAATCTCCTTCTATATTGATATTCCAAAGATAATTCTAAATTGTTAGAAAAATATTTTTATTCAAGTATTCCACGCGTGTCGAAGAAAAGTAACGGTGTTAATTTGCGTTGCAGGCTGGAGGAACGAAGAGCAGAAAACGGTACGTCGATCATTCCACTAACCTGACGCGTGCTTTTGCAAGTTGATCGATCTGATCTTGAAAATCGACCACGACCTCCTGGTGTTTTTTGCGCAGAAGATGCGCGGTCTCCTCGCTCTCGAGATGAACATCTTCGAGCAGTTTGCGCAACTTGGTCAGTTCCGTGTCCCTCTTCCTGTTGATCTCGAACTGTTTCGTTTAGAGAAACAGTGATTAATTTTCCGTCGACGTCGAGAGGAATTTCACTTAAAAATATTTCTGTTAAGCTTACTTGAGATTCGGCGCCACCTTCGGCCTCTTCGAGACGTTCGGACAGCTGGATAACTTGTACGCTCAAGTCAGCGCGTTCGCGTTCGATCTGCAAAGGCACGTTGCAAATGAAGAAAGAATAACGGTAGTTTAATAGAAGAGTCGTTGTACAATATCATTATATATACGATTTTCTGTATTAGCGTGAAACGTGTTCCCGAAAATTTTCCTAGAATTTTTTCTGATTTTCAACTATTTGTAGGATGCAGAGTATCGAAAATAGAAGAATCAGAGAAAGTAAGTATATTCACATATCTCCATTTACTTTCCCTTTTAGAGCATTATTTAATTGTAAATATTCATTCTCAGTTTACTCGATCTTTGATCTATCAATATTAAAAATTCGATTCGAAAATGTACTTGCTAGTGACGTCATTTTTTGTAATTAATACACATCAACAAAGCAAATATTTTCATCTAATATTTAGATCTAATCTCTAATAATATTTTCATATATTCGGTTTTAAATTAGCTTCTATTCCAGTGGATCACCAAAACTTAAAATTAATTTGTAAATTCTAAAAGCGATCGAGCATGGAACTGGTTCCGATGAAAATTTAATTTCCTCGTTGCCTTAAGAGTTCCCTGTGCAGCCGGGTCCGAAAACTGTCAAACGAATAATCGCGAGATCGTATCGCGAATAGAAGAATTCGAACAAAGGGCTCGGTGCATAATCGTATCTGAGTTTGGTTCCTTTCCGGAGGTACGAATTCGATCGTAGCACGACAGAAGAGCGCTGTCGGGACACGGTTGATGCGTGTTGAGTGTAATCGAGATGCGCGGCATTGTTTTGGAAAGAGGCCTCGAGGAACGACGCGAACGGCTCGGTGCAAGCTTGACGTCAGGTTTCTTCGGACCGCGAATAGAACGATCTAATTCCGGACGGACTGGCTCTATATCGGGAGCTTTATTCATATTACAAACGAGGCGTTTATCAAGAAAAGATAGACGCGCGACATCGCCATAACTGTCCGTTCTCCGGAAACCACCGTGTTTCTCCATGACTCGTTGCATTCACCGACTCTATCGAAACGAGCGCTTCCTCTAACGTGCTTTTTTTCCACGAAATTCTGCATTTTTAGAACGATACAAGCTTCTATACACAATTTTGCTTCCTCAGATTTCGAACTATAAATTTTGAAACACAGTAGAAGAAATTCTTGTTAGAAAATTGAAAAATTCATTTTATTTGTACACTAATATGAATCGAGAGGGAAGAATGTGTTTACAGTTCCCAATAATTGCAACGAATTCGTAACTAGGCGACACCTATTTCACGATTAATTTTTTTTTTTTAAATTCACAAGTATCTCTAACTGGACATTGTTGAAATAATTTAAAATAGGGTACGAGCGATGTTACGTAACGATTCATTCGATCCTTGTACATCGAGTTTTTCATAACGATGATATATAGAGAACCTAACGCGTATTTAACGCGATCATAATTTTCAACCTTTAGCGATTCGAAAGCGCGAAGAACGCGGCTGGCATAGGTTCAAGTCACGTATCGCGGCGAGCGTTACGTACGAATTTGATTTCCGCGGAGCTGGCCGAACAATGAAACCAGAGAAGGTCTTTTTAAATTTAACGCGCCATTTGAACGAGATCCCTTCGTTCTGCGAATACGTGGTTGTATCATCCCGTCGAAGGTCCACGGAATCGAGCAAGATTAAAAACCTTCGAAATTTGCAATATCCAGGTTACGTACGACCGTGGACGAGAACGAAAGAGATCGATCGAAAAAAATAAATTGCATTAAAATTTATATATCCGTACGTTTGTATATTTGTTTGTTTTTCTTTTTTTTCTTAATACGACGCGTTACACGTACACCGAACACGAAAAAGGAATGCGGGTTCGTTCGCTGAAGAGGCGCGCATCCCCAAAAATAGACGCGACTCGAGAGCTGGACATTTCGACCTACTGCTCCCCACTCTATGGTGGAGCGGGCCTCTCTCGCTTTTTTTGTATCAGTTTCAAAATTCACAATGCCCGGATTACATAAAGTTTCGAGATTTACGTTTATCGCCGCTGTCCCGTTATTTTTATCTCCGGCCTCTGCCCCGAGCCTTCCGATTCGATTCGAGAGAATTCTCGAGGAAATCCGCGACGAAACGATGGAGGAAAAATACGCGTCGCAGCGATCGGAGAAAGCGTTGGCGAAACTCACCCTCTGACGCAGCTCTCTCTCAGACTCCAGGTCATCCTGCAGCAAGCGGATTTTGTCCTGAAACGAGAGGCAAGAGAAGGATTAGAGCGTGCCACGGGGCTCGTTATAGAGGGTCGGTGCTTTACGTAATGGGCCGACGAAAATATCCAACAGCGGACGCTCGGTATTTCAGAAAGACAGACGGCCTCCGAGCGGGGCCTCGTCCTCGAGGGAACAAGAAAGTATCTTCGGTCTACCGTCCGTTGGGGTCGTTTTCAACGGAACGGAGGAACGTGCGCTCGTCTCTCTCCATGGACCTTAACGAGCTACCAGGGAGAACGTTCGTTCAGGGGTGAAAAAGGACCAGTCTTACTTGAATGCGGAGACGAGTGCGCGTTTCCTCCTTCGAGCGGGTCGTTTGTCTTCGCGAACGCCTCGAGGATGTCACACCGATCGTCAGGAGCCGATATTCACGACTATTTTCGTACACGAGCAATCCGATAGCCACGGAACGGTCACTTTCGGGTTCCTCGTCAGGGTTTGGCACTAATATCCCTTATGGTCACTGAACTTTATCGCGTCTCACTGTCTCCACCGCGATAATCGGTCACTGCTCTGCGTTTTCCCGTTTTTCACGATCACTACCGCCTCTTCATCCGCCGTGGATCCAATCGACCTAGACGGTTTCGAACGATTCTCCCCCGATAGGGTCATCCTTGCATCATCGGGACACTTCTCAACGAACGTCTTTGGACTCTATCCATCGGTATTAGGTTTCATAGGGGCATGACTCTTCCCCCAACGTATAAGGACTCGTTCGATATCTTGGATCCAGAGTCTCGGACGTCTCTTCTCCCCCCGCGATTTAAGGCTTCACGGGGCCATTTTGGACTCTCTTCGTTGGGCTACCTCGGGTCTCGCGAGACTCCTTGGACTACTCCTCCCTCCGTTGTGCAATTGGGGTCTCGGTTCTCCACCTTTTCCGTTCGTCGATCGGTCACAATGCTTCGTTACGATTAAAGAAAGGGGTACGGGACGGTCCTAGAGCGAAAGGTGTTCGCGAACGTGTCGGAAACGAAAAATGAACTGAAATAAATACATGTATAATGGTCGTGTCGTGTGCTCGATAACGAAGCAACGGAGTAACCCACGGGACGCGCGAGTCCCGACAAATTGTTACGAATTTCGATGAAAAAGGACGATTTGGTCGATCCCGTTCTTTGGTAACCTACCTCCAGTCTGGTGAGAGTGCTGAGGTCGGCGCTGTATTCGATGCTGACATCGGCAGTACCACCGCCGGTGGAGCGGTACGTGTATTTGGAAGCTTTAGCGATCGCTGAAGACATCCTGTCCGCTTCTATCACTTCGCTTTTTCTCGACGATCCCACGTTCCTTCGGCCGAGATTCGTTTCTCCTCGGGTTCCTCGTTAACCTTCGGGTTTTCGCCTCGATGCACTGGCTGGTGCTAAGTTAAGTCGTCTTGATTTAAATCGTCGTGGTCTGCACACTTCCTCCTCCACCTTCTTCTACTTCTTCTTCCTTCTCTTCTTCGGGGTTTCGGAGCCGACCAGCGCCCTACTCGTAGTGCGCGACCCGTCGTCGTTCGTATGGCGCGCCGGCGGCTCCATGGCTTCGTCAAAATGACGGTTGCGCGCGTGCGCGGTAGATCTACGACCCCCACCAGGAACACGCGACCGCGGACTCGTCATCGTCGTTGTTCCACGTCCTCGTCGTTCGTCGAGGGGAACCACCAGCCGACGACCACCGTCGTTCCTCGGACGCCCACGTTTCCTGAAAGCACCTGCCAACAGGAGGCTCATCTTCGCGAAAACCGGCCATTCCGCGCTGAATAGCACTCGAACTATATTAATTTCAAAATAATATACGTGTAGCAGGGAACGTTTGCTTGTGGATCGAACTCGATCTTAACGCTTCGCTACCGGGTCGCGTGCCGCGAATATTTTGAACGCCATTTTCAGCCACATCAACACCAGCCTTTACAGCGTCGTGTTACAAGCAAACGTGCCTGGTATTAAAAAGAAAACTAAAAGATATGGAAAAGGTGTAGATGAACGAAACAAAAATTTGTTTTTTTTAAATGATATTTTATTTTTTATAAAATATAGTTGTAATTTTCGAAATTTAAACAAGGTAGAACGAGATGTTATACTTAATAGCTTGGTCTATGGAGATATTTCTTTATTAAAATCGTTTATTTTTTCTTTAGACAGTATTGTATCATGGCAAGTAAAATATTCCCCTCGTTCACCATTTTCTTTATCAGGAGTTTTTAACTGTAAATAATAATTATTAGTAGACTGCGGATCTCTATGCAAATTCACATTTTTATTAATAGAATTAATGAAACGGAAGCTTCGCAGAGGGCTGTCTCAACCCCTAAATATAATAATTCGTATCTTACTTTAAGTATTTCTTATATTTTTGCATATTAAATGCATTCTGTAGTTTTTTGAGGATTAAAATTTCCCATAAATGCATAAACATTCGCAGTCTAATTATTATCAAAGTACTACTGTATATACGAAAAATCAAAGACCTCAAGAGGTAACTGCTATTCAAGCACTAATTTTGTTCAAAATTTAATCAGACGATGAGACAAGTACATGAAACATTATATTTGAGTTTCATTTTGCAGTATTCAAATACAATCGTATCAACGTACATACGAAAAATATTTCCTTTCTTTTAATAAACAAAATATGATCTTTATAATTCGAAGAACGAAGAAGTCTCAAACGCAATTTGATCATTATTTAATACAATATTTACCACTAGAAAACCAATATTTATTAGATAAACGCTTACCATAATTTCTGTTTATTACAATTTATTATAAAAATAATATTCGATGTCCTCTGAGTTACTGATCTACTCATAAAATATTTGCACATTTTGAAAGTCATCCCCTTCCTTGCGAAAGTCGTATTTTTACAAAGTGAAGGATACTCGAGATTAGGGGGATGCATAAAGCATATACTATCACTTCTACACGCAATGAGAAACCGTTACAGCTGGAATTCGCATACCGTTTTGTTTTAGACGCAAGATGCGCATTACTTGGAACGATACGTTACGACTTGTAAAGTTACAACGCTTTAATCTAACATTGCTCTAAATATTTTGCCTTTGTTGCTACTAGTGTTTCAATAAAACTATTCCTATTCATATTCCTCGAAATAATAAATTTATTTCTAGAAAGCAAACGGAAGTAAAATTAAAATTAAATAGTATGTTCATTGATAGAGGAAATAAACGACGACTAATTGTAAGCTCTAAACGAGCTATTTTTATTTACGTTTCGACTCGTTCGTTCTGAATCATCTTTGCAATAAACATTACTATATATATGTTGGAAAGATCAAATTAAGATTTATAATTATAGACATGTGATTAGAAATACAAAAATAGTAAAATGAATCAAACTCGAAGCAAAATAAAAAATAAAATTATTTTTCAAGATTGGAGCGTTATGTGCAATGTATTTTTTGTTTATAAAGAAAATAGTTTATTTAAGACTGATAATCAATCATTATTTAGAATGAAGATATAAATTCCTGTAAAATTGAGGATCGTTATATTCCTTTCATTTTCTCGAAACAATTTCATACGAAATTAGTACCTTTTTATATGGACCAGTAAAAACTATAGGATTCTATCATTAAAAAGAGATACAATTGCATTTTATTCTGTCTAAGACTTTCTATTCTCTTTCGAAGATTTGTCCAAGTGACGTGGAACAAAAATATTATTTTTAATGTCGATGAACTTGCTCGAACATTGATAAAAATTAGTTTGAAGCATTCGTCGCGCGAAAGGTTTGGGGTAGGTGGTCAACAGGTGTACAGGCCACGATCAAAAACCGATCCACGATCGAAATTGTCCGAGGGGCACTCGACAATTAGAATTAGAATTAGCTCTGGCGTCCCACGCTTCTCGACGTGGAATTATTCGTCTAACATTCAGGCGTACAACTGCGTCGCTCTTCGTACCGATTTAGATATACCGTACTTGAAAAGCTACAGGGTCATCACTTCGCATAGATTGGCCATCGATGAGAGAAGTCGTTGACTCATTCAAGCATCGATAGTGGCGCACGTATAAGCTTTAATAAGCGTATTACAATTGTGCATTGTCATCCGGGTGTCGCGTAGGAGCCAAAATCGTTGTAGGACCGTGACTATTTTTGCGTGTACACTCATCGCGTATGGGATACACGGGAATATAGTCTATAATTATACAGGGTGAAATCTTATTTCCACGTCGACGCCCTAGGCGTTAAATCTAGATCGTGAAACGGGAAAATTATGTTACAGGGATGTGCGTACGTTGTTCCAGCATTATTTTTCAATTTTTAATGTATCGTCAAATTCATTAATATTGTTTCGTAACATTTTAACGCATTCAACGATGCTCGATTATATTCGAAGAAAATTTTCCCTTGATTAAAATTTATTTTAAATTGGAATAATGTCTTCTTGCTTTGAGACGAATTAAATACAAAGATATTGATTTTTCTACTGTTTTTTGGCCGTGATTGGAAAATCGGATTGTTTGATTCGTCGTTTTTGTAGCCCAAGCACGATATGACGAAATTGTTTTATATAAATAACAACGCGTGATCTCCTAATGCAACGAAACGAGGTAGACTGATGGCTCAACAGGTGTGGAGAATTCCTCTTGAAAAATTGCAGTCTACCGATCCGATTCCTGGAATCCGTCGCGAATTCTCGATGATCTCGCAGCTGCGACGAAACGTTCGCGAGCTTTTCGGTATTTACACCCGACATCGTTGTTGACGACACGGCGATGGCTAACAAGAATGCCGGGCGTGTTTCCATCGGCTTTGGTATTGCGGTCTTCAGGTTCCCTACGCCCGATATTCTCGAAATTTATAGAAAATTCCCATATTTATGGGATCGTCGCGGATCCTCGCCCGTGATCGTCCAAGAAATCGTTCGCGTGTTTGAAATACCATTCGTATCGCCACAGATATACTATTAATATACGATCGTCGATTTATTTTGGACCGATCGCTCGCGAAATTCGAAACGTCACTCGTTATTAATAAACGATCGTTCATTTACTTATGACCGTTGTTTATTTTGGTTCCACCTATTGTTTAACGCTTAAAAATAAGACGACGCGACGGCGTGAACTTTATAGCAAAAGTTTATTTCTATCGTCTTACAAACGAATATAAATACAGTCTTCGAGAAAGGAACAATAGAGTAGCTAGTATAGAGTTGTAAAAATATCGTGCAACTATATAAAATTTAAAACAAGAAGACTAGGGTCGCGTATCGAAACGTTTCGTTCGTTCGATGCATTGTTTCCGTAACAATTTCGACGTAAGCGCGTGTTCGTTTACCCTTACTACTAGCGGCGTCTGAAACAGGAGCTTCTCATTCTACTAGCATACCATCCCACTCCCGGCCCGCCGTGAATTCCTCCCGTATTTATATCCTATAATCCATTTTTATTTACCCGAAACGGCAACAGGCCGCGAAATGTCTCGAACTCGAAATTCCCCGACGTATAATTTCCATCCAGCAGCCGTCGTTTCTTTTCTTTACGAGGACCGGATCCCGGCCGTAGGACGCACGAAAGGGAGCATAGGGACCATTCTCCGTCGAAACATTCAGTTTTCACAAAATTTCCACGACCACCCACCCCGCCCCACTCCCGTCGAGTGTCTATAAAAGGTCGCCAGACGATGGTGGGCAAAGATGCTCGGTCGGCCTAGCTCCGGAGCTCACCAAGTAATTTGAGATTGGCCCCTTCTCTTCTGCGTCCTCCTCATCACCTTGCTCCCACTCTTGGTACCGAGCACGTGGCTCCCTCTGGTGGAGAATTCCAGGCATCGGAAAGCACGTCGGAAGACCTCAGACCAGAATAACTCCCTCTTTCTCTCTTTTTCCCACCGTCGACTGTTCGCGCGCCCCCTCCGGCCCACCCTTTCGGTGAGTTTCGATGCCCAGCGGGGTGTACACCTATGCGGACTCGTGCAGAAACTTCCTCGTATCCGCGTTTCCAATTCGCGCCGGCACGTTTCGCCGGATATTTGGCTACGACCCGAGACATCCTACCAACTGGACCGTGTCATCTATTTTGTTTACAGGGTGAAATCGGAAAGGGGATGCAGCTTCTTCCGAGGAAACTGCCTCCTCTTAACCCTTAACCCTTGCATCGGTAACCATATTCCTTCCAAACGTCAAATACAGAACGATAGTCTCCATACTTTTCCAAAAATTTTCGATTTACACGTGGGAGGGTGGAAAAAGGGTTTGGAACGAAGTCTTGGTAAACGTGGACCGAAAAATTAATATTCTTGGAATTATAAACAATTTTCTGCACGTAACAGAATCAATGGATTCTTTATTGTTCCTTTTATCTTCTTTGCATGGGAGAATTTCTTTTGAAGAAATAATCAGGAGAATTTAAACTTAGAGATCGAGGGGGATTTTTTTAATGTTCCAATTCCTATGTTTTTTCAAACTATCGAAATTTCGAATCGGAAGCATTACTACACCGGTGTCTATTATTAGTTCCTGATATATCGTTTCCGTGAGCTAAAAAAATTTATTTTCGAAGAAAGCA